AGAATTCCTTTTTTTGAGTGACTGTATACAAACATGAGTCAGAATAGCTTCACACTATATCGAGAAACTGTGTTTCTGTTGGTGATTACACCCGAGAACGCGCTCAGGCAAAATCTGAGTATCGAAGATAATGGCCGTTCACTTTTCACGCAAACCAGCGTCCATCGTCGTGATTGGTTGCATCTCTTTCCTGGCCCACTGGTCAGCTTCGTTTTCCACGTCACCCTGTCTGGCTCTTGCAGAAAGTGCTCGCCCCTGACAGTCGCACCGCCACACCATCACTGTCCCAGACCAGAGCATCCCCCACCCCTACAGTTTGCATGTCCGCCCCACTGTCCAGTGCGGATTGGATTTTACATTCTGCGCCTCACCAGCCAGCTTCAAGGTGACGCGTCAAATCGGTGTCAGCTGAGCTGTTCTCAGGAGAATTCCATTGCTCCCAGACGCTTTTTATGGTTACTTTTGGGTCCTGCTGGAAGGGAATCTAGCCCAGAAATATATGGGCAGGATAAGGCAGCCGCCGTTCGTCAGAACGCCTTCTCCACTACAAGGGGTGGAATAAGATTAACATTACATCACTTGTGCACACAGAAGGCTGCCAAGCTTTTTAGCATGTATATTCTGTGCTCCATTTCTTTTCTTCATCCTCCAGTCGAACTACCCTCCCTGTGTCACGCTTTTGTATTTTCTACTCTTTCGGGGAAAAAGGTTTCCTTTTCCTAAGCTTCCCCCTCCCCACCTCAAGCCAGACTACCCAACCACACCACCTTGCATCCCCTTTTCGACTCATTTTTCCAAATGAACCGTTTCAAACGGCTCTCTTGTTGCACAGTGTTTCTGCCTTGCAGGCTGTGGGGAATGCTGTTTTTTCCCTCAGCTGTACAATGCATGGTGCAGTGAATTCTAGGACCTCGCCTCCTTGACCACGTGCCTAATCAGAACTACGGAATCTCCTGATTGCCTTGCCTCTGTTCCTCACTTCACTCAAGTCGTGGAAAGATGTCGAGTTCTCGCATAGACTCAATGGTTGTTGAGCTCACGTTCTGCGCAACTAACGCTGTTCAACGGCTAGCAATCTGCGACTTTCGCACCCGTCCAGTTGTCGGGAACTCACTGGTTCTAGTAAAATATCTCTTCGTCTGGTGGTCAAACGCACAAGTACACGTAGCGCTTTCAAGACACCACAGTACTATCCCCTACGGATAGCGCTTTTGACACAAGCACATCCCATTCCATCCTTGTTCGTCCCCTTCATCAGCTGCTCTTTCTCACACGATCCTTCTCTCTCAGCAGTCTCAGACATCGCCGTGCAATTGAGAAACGATTCAGGAATAAGGGCGTGCGTAGTAACTAGAATTTCACGAGGACGGGATCTTCCATTTGGCGAGTTATTCGCGCGCTGACACGCGACTCGGGTCCGCGGAGAAAACAAGGCTATCAAGTATTCTCAATAGTGTGAAGATGAGCAGTAGAAGAAGGCGCCATAGCTAGGAAAGCCCTAGCTAGGCAAGAAACAGTTTAGGCAAAGAAGGAGGGGTTGCACTAGCAAGAATGAGGATACAAATAGCAAACCCTAGAAGGGTTGTACTCACTATAGAGCACCCCACTACAGGCTAGAGCATAATATTCTGACACACCCCCATAGCCAAAGTGGGGTGTAATCAGCAGAGCAAGCAAAGCAGAACAAGCTCAGGGTGGATCACAATGTCACCACACATTCTGAGCACAAGTTCAGGAAGCAATAGTTTAAAGTTCACAATTATGAGCAAAGCTAGTGGTAGTCACAACGGGCAAGTGAGGAGGAGGAGGGACAGTGAGAGGAGAGGAGATAGGAGGCGACGGCTGAAGCTGCAGACACACGGGCAACAGGAGGCACACTGGCACAGCGGCTACCGGAACAGCGCTCCGGACTACTGGAGTAACTGGCCCCGCGGCTAAAAGTAGCGGCAGACGAGCAACGGACCCACGGGCGACTGGCACAGGTGGCTACGACTGGGCTACCGGAGCAACTCCCCGGACTACAGGTGCTGCTGGCGACACGACGGCAACCTCCGTTCAACCTCCCCCAAACAGTACCACCCCCCCTGACACACACCCCCTGCTTCACCCCTAGCTCCACTCCCCCTTCACCCTCCCTTAGTACCACTCCGACGGCTCCAACAGGTCCACCCCCCCTCAGCGGCAGCTGCAGCACAGGGAGACGGAGGAGGAGGAGGAGCAGGGAACGGCACACAGAAGCTGCACCCCCATACCCCCCACCCCCAAACCCTAATCCAGGAGAACGGGCAGAAGGAAGGGTGGGGCGCCTTCAGAAGCACGGGGGACAGCGGGGAGGACAGGGGCAGCGAAGAACGGGCCGCCCACGGGCCTGGCACAGCCTCCCGAACCGCGCGCAGGCGGCCCGAGCCGCGCGCGGGCCTGGCGCAGCCCGTACGGGCCGCGCGCGGGCCTGGCGCAGCCCGTACGGGCCGCGCGCCGGCTGTACGGGCCGCGCGCAGGCCACGACGGGCGACGGGGGGCGACGCGCGGGTCCCCGTCGCCCGTCGTAGCGCCTCCTGGGGGCGACGCGCCGAGTGACGGGGCAGAAACCCGTCGCGCGCCTCGGGGCGCACGGCGGGCAGAAAACCGCCGCGCGCCTCGGGGCGCACGGCGGGCAGAAAACCGCCGCGCGCCTCGGGGCGCACGGCGGGCTGAAAAACCCTAATTTCGACGCCGCGCACCACGGGGCGCGCGGCGGACAGGGAGTAGCAGTAGCAGCGGAAGCAGTGAGGTGGGGCCCACAGGCCAGGAGCATATCGCTCTAATACCATGTGAAGATGAGCAGTAGAAGAAGGCGCCATAGCTAGGAAAGCCCTAGCTAGGCAAGAAACAGTTTAGGCAAAGAAGGAGGGGTTGCACTAGCAAGAATGAGGATACAAATAGCAAACCCTAGAAGGGTTGTACTCGCTATAGAGCACCCCACTACAGGCTAGAGCATAATATTCTGACAAATAGTCGTGCTCTCAAGTCCTGAAAATGCTTCTGTTGAGTAAATTTTCAGGGTCCAAGTCCAGGAGGCACGCTAGCGAGCGGAATGCGCGGACCGAGCGGAACGAGCGGAACGAAGAGACGGAATGCGGCTCGGAGCTACCACCTGCACGTCAGCCCGCGGCGCGCGTCGTTGTCTTCGAGAGATGCGGCTGTCAAGAAGCATTGATGGCACGTAGAGACGCGGAGAAACCGCGGGAGTTAGTGACTTCTGAACCTGCTGCAGACGGATATTGCGGGGCTTGCGGAGGTTGCGGAGGCGGCGGAGGTTGTGGGGGTTGCGGGGTTCACGCAAAACCCTCTGACTACGATATTTCAACGCTTGCGCCGGCGGGTTTCGCGCATCGCCTTTTGTTCTCGATGGTCGATGGTTTCGCGACATCGCTCGGCGAGCGCGCGAATCGTCTCGCGAATCGTCGTCGCGTCGTTCGCCGGACGCTTCGGCTCGCCGCTCATCCTTCTCCTTCAACCCTCCCCCGCTGGTGCCCGGGGAGGAGGGAGATCCTGGAAGCAAAAACTGCGAGGCGGATTCAGCGGCGGGCGAGATTGGTCAAGAAGATTCGGTGACAGCGCAGAAGCAGGAGAAGCAGGAAGAGGCGGAGAGGTGCCGGTGTGAGAAATTGTAACGTATTACCCTAACTACCGAGCTAACAACCATCGATCTCTCTCTAAGTCAATTGTTGAGAACTTCTCTCGACAAAGGAAGAGTTGGAGAAGATGGTTGAGTTGGTTGGGATGAAACTTGGTTTGGGTTTGCCAAGCCTCAACTTTGGAGGTTTGGAACATTTCCAACTCAACCAAGAGAATGTTGAAGGTTGGAATTCCAACCAATCAGAAACTGCCAAACAAGTGTTACAATCTACTCTATCCTAAACACAACCATTGAATGGTTCTAAGTTGGGTTTTCCAACCCAACACAATTGCCACATAGGCTCCAAGCCTAGGAACCATCCCACCATGGAAACCATGGTTGGGATAGTTCCCCAAGGGGTGTATTGAGGGGGTCTGAGCTAAGCAAGCTCATTCTCAACCTCCCACTCCAACAAAACAATTGGAAATGGGATTGTTTCTCTAAGTCCTTTTGGGCTCTCTCACAAGTCTCCCTACACTACTACTCCAAGTGCTTTTCATCAAAGGCATCAAGAAGATCTTCATCTCCAAGGCTATTAAGGCTAGTTAAAGCTACTATTTTGTATTGGAATATTATAAAAGCCTTGTAACCGCCATTATAATAGCCCTGGGCATTACAGAAATGGATGGCCTTTCAGCAGTCAATCGCGGCAGCAGAGGAAGCTGACGTCAGTGACGACGCCGCCGAGTCCGCTACCACTAGTACTAGTTTTAAGGCGCCCCATAACTCAGCAGCTGACGTCAGTGGCGCCGACGCCGCTAAGCCCGCTACTGTTAGCGGTAACGCCGCTACCGGTACAATCAGCGATAGCAGCGACTCCGGCGCTGCCGATTCCTTTGGCGACTGCTCCGCTGCGACTTGTTTTGGCGGGTTACAAGCTCCAGGTCCTAGCGCCGTCGCAGCGGGGGAGGCGGAGGCGCCGTCAGTTGCGCCGTCAGGTGCAGCAGCATCAGAGACGCTGTTTTCCCGGCGAATGAAATCCCAATCGCACCCAGCGCCGCGGGTAGTACCTGTATTAGGCGATACTACAACGGGGACGCGCAACTTCCCCTTTCCCCTGGCCCGGGGCCTAGAAAGCGCAGGCGCGATGCGGAGTTCCCCTCTGCGCAATTTCCCCGTTCCGCGCAGCTCGTCGCACACTGACAGGTTTCCGCCACCGCGAGCGGCGATCACGGCGGCGTTTCCACCAGAGCCATGGTTTACCTGTGGCAGCAGTACCCACCAATACACACAGCCTCGCGTTACTAGTGGGCCGTTTCAGTCATGTACTAGTGAGTCGCCTCGCGTTAGTGAGCCGTTTCGAAGCGCGGCTATTGAGTCGCCCCGCGTTACAGTCACGTCCATGGTGACAGAGATCGCGTACGAACCGCTCCCCGAAGGCCTCTTCACTCCGCTCTCCCCGTTATCCGCCGCTTCCGCCTGTTCCGCGGCTTCCGCCGCTCCTGCGCTGTTTTCCCCAGACGGCCACTCCGCGCGGTTTTTCGACTCCCCCGGCGCGTCTTCGTCTGCCTCCGTCTCCTCCGCGTCCGTTCTATTCCCCGGCGCTTCGCCATCTTCTTCCCCCGCCGCGCACACATTTTCGTCGCGACACAGGCGGCAGTCGTCCGCGTCGCACGCGACGACACCTCCGCTAATTACGTCGCTGCAAGGCGACGTGCCGCGCTCGCCGCCGGCTCCGTTCCGCCGGCGATCTCACTCGTTCGCGTCGCTCAACACCGTTCAGCTGCAGCGGAAAATTCACGCGTCCCCATCCCCGCCCATGTCCCCATCTCTCGCGCCGTGTTTCGTGCGCGCGGAAGCGACAGAAACAGACGGGCAGGGGCCTACGAAAGTGCGCCCGGAGTCAGGCGGTGCATCGGGCGCAGCGACGGCAGCGTCGACTCTAGCGGAAGCCAGGGCGGCTCGTCTGTCCACGTCAGCAGCAGCAGCTACTGCCGCCAACCCAGGAAGAACTAAGATTTTCGCATCGGTGCCGCTCAATAAGCCTCCATATCTTTCATCACCCGCGAGTACTGGATATGCGAACTGTGCGATAACCGCCTCTACTTCGCTTCATTCGCACGCCGTCGCTGAAGCTGGCGTGCCAGAGTTCCCTCGCTGGGGATCTACAGTGAATCGTTCTACAGTACACGGAGCTACTGTCGAAACGTCTACACGTCAAGGGGCTACTATAAAGTATTTTACCATCAACGAGGCTGCAGTACCATATGCCCCCAACAGAAATCCCACCGCCTCAAACTGCGCAGTTTTCCCTGCTTCTCCAAAGTCCCCACAAGGGTTAGTTGGAGCAACTAGGGGCAGCCCGGGATGGGGAGTGGAGCGAACTGGGGGGTATATCACGGGAGGCGTAGGGGAGGCGAATAGGGGGGGAGCGGCCCAGGGGTGGGGTGGCACATCGTTGAAGGCAGGGCTGGGTGGTGGGGGATGTGTGAGGGGAGGCGCAGCGACGATGCGTATGCGCGTGCACCAAGGGATGAGTGTCGCGAGGCATGTCCACGGGCATGTGCGATCCGAAACTGCTGGGCAGGTTGATGGTTTGTTGCCAGCGTGTCACGGTAACCAGACTGGCGAAGTCGGGGGCAATTAGCACACTGGCAGGCTGGATCATAGAGTGGCGGCAGCTGTAGTATGAAAAGAATCGATGGCAGAAGCAGCAGCAGCAGCAGCAGCAGCAGCAGCTGCAGCAGCAGCAGCGGCGGCGGCGGCGGCGGCGGCAGCAGCAGCAGCAGCAGCAGCAGCAGCAGCGGCGGCAGGGGAAGCAAGAAGCAGTGCGAGTAGAAGCAGTGCGAGTAGAAGCAGCACGGCCAGGGGTAGCAAGAGCATGAGCCATAAAGACTGGGAGTGGGTTCTTGTGGTCCTGCGATCTTGCAGCACTGGCAATGGCACCACCAGCACCTACAATACGCTCAATGCAAAGACAGTGGATCCTTTTCTGCTCTATAAATAGAGTGGAGTGGACGCAGGGTAAGTTTCATGCCCTGGCAAAAGCATGCTTGGTGCAGCAGGATGCGACATTCATAAGAGTGCTTGGGAGCTCACAGTTGAAAGATATGATCATAGAAAGACAAGCGCATTTGCAGGAAAATATTGCCTGCAAGAGCAGCATCAGCAGCAGCAGCAATAGCAGCGGACCAGAACCTGAATGGGGCATATGCTGGGAAAGTTGCTGCTCATATCAATTTGTCAAACGCCAGCTCAAGAGCCGTAACTGGTGCTGGAGTTGGTGTGGTGTGGTACTTTCTGGGTGACCAACAGTTGAAATTAGTTTTGTACACCAATCAGTAGACGCGAAGGATCAACTGGAAGTAGAGTTGAGGACATGCACCAGCCAGCAGTCATAACGACGGTAGGTCTCGTGCGTTGGACCAGAATGTATTCTGGCTCTTAATACTGTGTTATAATTTTGTTAAGTCGATGGGAATCTCAGTGGTCGTGTATGACGGTCTTCTTGTTACGATAGCGAGCTTGCGTGCAAGACATTACTTGGGTGACAGACAAACAACGCCAGGCTGGCTTGATGCTGAGAATTTGTCGCTTCTGTCCATACGGTGGTTGTTTGATAGACTTACGGCCAACGACACTGTGATTGTTTTTGACGGCTGAGATTACTCGAGAGCTTTTTCAACACAGCTAGGCTCACCAGCTCGACCTTTGAGACTGACCTCACCTCGACGACAACCGTCGATTTGCATCTCCATGCCTGCACAAGAGCCAACAGACCGTACCTGATAAATTCACCTCAGGGCTTCCTTACTTCCGACACTGTACGTACGGAGGACAAGCCTCCCCCTCCCTCCCTTCGTCACTTTCACCCGCGCCAGCGGCAGCACCACCACGGTGCAGACCAGACGGAACGTTGGTTGTTTGCACCCAAGGCAACAGGTTCGGGAAGGATGACATTTTCAAGGTCCCTCCATTGAAGCACAGTCCCGTTCTGGTGGTTCGCAATTGTTCCACTACCCGCAGAACCCCTCTATCAACACTCTTTTTGTCAAATAAACCGTTATGAAACGCACTGAACGTGGCTAATAACACCCTCTCCGTTCACTGACAGATAACCCCGACTTCCGCTTTTGCTCTCCATCCTACTCGACCGTTTTAGGAATTTATTCGACCGCGCTAGATCACAAAGTGAGTCCCTTACCTGCTGATCACATTGCGTCATTGTAGTTGCACAATGATCGCAATTACAGCAATGACGGTTCCCTAGAAATCATCGGCCCGATGAAAGCTACCTGCCTTACGTTATCCACCTGAATACCTGTCTAGGCGTTGTTGTAGGGCGTTCCCAAGTATAGCCGCCATAGAAGTTTCCCCAAGCCAGTGCTGCTGCTTGTTATGTTATTTGCTGCTGTTGCATTATTTCCTCGCAAAATAGAAGATTGGCGTCGACATGGACTTTGGACCTGAAGGGTCGTTAGTGTACCGCAAGTTTCTGTTAGCAAGCCCGGCAAGTGCCACGTCAGCTAGCAGTAATGCCAGTTTAGTCCATCCAGTTTCTCCCTGGCACGACTTACCGCTTCGGTTTGACTCTAACGATGGCACGGTTCCCGCCACGTTATCCGCTGGTGACTGTATCGAGATGGTCTGCACTACGCCTAAAGGCTCGTGGTTACAGTTAGAAGTAGCCGTTTCAGAGCTTTATCAGCCGTTGAGGCTGCGCGAATCGAACGGTGCTCCCGCACACTACCAGGACAATGTACAGTGGAACCTCGGTATTATCCCGCAAACGTGCTCATGCTTTAGCGAGGACGACGAGAATAACGGAAGCGGTCCGGACCCTTCGAAACAACATGGTCCAGTAGAAATAATCGATATAGGATCCGCGCCAGCTGACGTGGGATACGCGTATCGCGTGAAGCCAATGACGGCGTTTCTGGTGATAAGTCCTAATTTAAAGACCACCCTGAAGATAATTGGCATTAATTCTATGGACCCGATCGCTGATAAGTTATCGTGTCTAGACGACTTGCAGAGACACGCTGGTGGGAAGCTTGCGGAGATCAGCGAGTGGCTCAAAACGTCAGCGTGTGTTTCAAGATGTGAGTTGGAATTGCTGGTCGGTTTGCTGGTTCAATCTTATTATTTTTGCTTGTTTTTCGCAACCTCGTCACTATCGCTTGATTATAGCGAGGCAATATCATGGCCCATGATGCGTCATCTTCTGATGTTCACACATTAGATTCTAGACGAAAAAGTTAATGTATTACAGCAGACAAAAAGGCTCTTCTGACGGTACTTTGTTTCTTTCGGGAACGAGACCCAAGATATTGGTTTTTTTAAGGGGGGGTAATGCCATCAAGTCCTATTGCTGGTATCGGCGATTTTTATGAGGAAAAGGGACCTCAGAGAGATATGAGGCGCGCCAGCTCGTGAAGCCATAAAGCCATTAAAGCTCTCAACAGTAATCTGAAGGATTGTATTTTTTTGTTCTTTTATTTTTTTCTTTGGTATAATCCGAAAAAAAAATATCGTTGCTAATATCTTCCTTCCCTCTTCTCCTCGTTTTCCCCCCTCCACCCTCTCCCCACTCCCTCCCCCTTTCCCCCTCTCGCCCACCCCGCCTCTTTTCCTTCGTCCCTCCCTTCCCATCCCGCACATTTCGTCTCCTTTCAGACGACGTACCCAACACGATCGGTTACCGCGAAAAGCCCGTCCCCACGGACCGAACGCTCTCCCTCCTTTCCAAAGCGCATGCCGCCTGGCACACCTACCACAGCGCCCACCACAGCCCCCACTCCGCCTCCGTTGCTTCCTCCGCCTCTGCGCCCAACCGCCCGCCCTCCGCCGTGCACGCGAGGGATCTTCGGAAGCTTGTAGAGAGCACCGCGGGCGGGTCGCTGGACGATCCTTCCGCCACTGGCGCATGCGTGCCGTTCTCCAAGCGGGAAGGCGCAGGGGGAGAGGACGCGGGGGGGGCCGGAGGTGCGGTGACGGGGACGGGGGCGGGGGCGGGGGTGGGGACAGGGGCGGGAACTGAGGCGGGTTCAGCGCACCCTGTGGCGGCGAAAGCAGGTCCGGCGGACGATTTGAGGCGGAAGCTTCTCGCGTCAAGCTCAGCGCGAGGTCCGGCAGGCGGAACACCCAGGGATAGGGTAACCGCACACCGGCGAGCTTCGTCTGTGTCATTTTTCGCCCCCGGCGCGTCGGATTTCGGGACGGGCATGGACAGTCCACCTCACGGGTTTCATTCTGCGACGGGGAGCCCTGGCGGTGGGAGCGGCGGGGGTGGCGGGGGTAGTGGGAGTGGTAAGCCCCCCTCTCTAAGCCCTCGCATGCAGCAGCCTCCTTCGTCGCAGTTCGCAGCGTTTCCCGGCAGCAGCGCGGGGGGGGGGGCTAGCCCGGCGGGGCGTAGGGTTAACAGACACGCGCGAGCGCAGAGCGTCAGTTTCAGCCCACATATGGATTTCAGCAGCAGCGGCAGCGGCAGCGGCGGCGGCGGCGCGCCCAGCGCAGGGGGGAGCAGGGGAGCGGGGCTGGCGCCGCCGGGACTGGTTAAGGGCGGAATGGGCAGGGGGGGGCGGATGGGGCCTTTGGGCGGAGGGGGGCTTGCTGGGGGAAGGGCGGGTCCGGGGAGGGGCATGGGGCGCGGGGGATTTTTCAGGAGCGCGTCTGTGGATGGGGGAAGGGGGGCGGAGGAGGATGGGGGCACGGATGGTCCGCTGGTGAGGCGGAGGAGTGGCGGAGGGGGAAGAGACCCGCCTGTCGTTGTCAAGCGGGTGGGGATGCCCCCCTCTGGGCCTGCGTCAGGCGCCGGAGGAGGCGGAGGCGGAGGCGGAGTAGGCGGGGGCAGTGGCGGAAGCGCGGGTGTTGACGGAAAGGAGACGTCAGGTGTGCTAGTGATTGAGATTGCGAGCAAGGGGGGTGATGGGGGGAGTGAGGTGGGCAAGGGGAGAGGAAGCAAGGAGCAAGAGGCCACCAGTGCGGATCAGGATTCGACATTTACCTTCCCTCAGCTAGGAGGGGCGATTGGTGATCCAGGCTTGGAAGGTGCCTCTAACGGAGGTGGTACTAACGAGGAAGAAGAATACACCGCGGATTTGGACAGTAGTGAGGATGACTGTGACGAGGATGATGGAGATATCGTGGAGTGTAAGGCTGCGCCAGGGGCATCTGGTACAGGACGAACGCCACTGAACGTATCTGTTAACGAGGACGACGATAATGAGGATGAGGATGACTGTGTGGTTCTAGCCTCGCCTCTCGTTTCCGCCCAGCCCCAGCAGCCGCAGCAGCCGCAGCAGCCACAGCAGGAGCAGAAGCCCCAGCAGCAGCAAGGGAGTGATGCAGCAGCAGGGTCAAATTTTCCTAGCGGGCTTGTAACAGCAGCAGGAGCAGCAGGAGGAGTAGCAGTCAGGAGGCTGAACTGCGATGTAACATCTGGGCAGAATGGCGGGCAGAATCAAGGGCAGAACGATGGGGAAGAGGAGGACGCTGATGGGGATGGGGATGGGGATATCCCACTGGCATCACCTCTGGCCAAATACCCCCCTGCCAGCCCCATGAAAGCCCACGCCCACGCCCATCACCAGCCGTTACCCAGCCCCTTGAGCCGCGGTCCTCTGGCCTCGGGCTTCAGTGCCAACCCCCCTCGCCCCAGCAGCCCACTCACACGCGTTCCCCAGCCGCAGCAAGCGCAGCAGCAGCAGGGTGAGAACAGCGGTGGTGGAGGTTTTGCAGATTCCTCTGGAGCAGTTGTGAACCAGAACCTGCCGCGGAGGCTGGTGAAATCAGGCTCGGAGCGGGTGGGTGGGGCTCCGGGGTCGGGAGGAGATGGCAGCTTCAGAAGCAGCAGCAGTGTTGGTGCTGCTGCTGCTGGTGGTGGCAGCGGCCGTGGTTTCAGCAGTGGCGCGGGTAACGAAACCAGCAGCGTCTCGAGCCCAAGGAGGTTTCTAAAGTCAGGTTCGGAGCGAGGCATGGCCGGACCTGGATTTCCCTTGTCGTCCGCCCTTCCTGTAGCCCAGGTTCTCGAAGGCCCTCCGTCAGGCGCTGCTGGGTGTGCAGCAGCAGAGGCTGGGAGCTCATCAGGGCATGTGAGTGTGCCTGAGCAAAGGCTTGGAAGGGACATTCGACACACTCGCATGCTGGGGAATGGGTCGCTCAAAGAGCAGGGGAGTCGGGGATGGGTGGAGAGTGGTGTGGGAGGAGGGGGTGTTGGTATGGGTGCGGGGGGAGCAGGAGGGCATGGGTCGAGGTTGGGAGGGCCCCCTGGGATACCCAGGCAGTGGAGCGCTGGGGAACCAGGGGGGGGGAGTGCTGGGGGGGTGAGTGGGGGCGGAGGGCCTGGGGGAATGGCAGGCCATGCCCATACGCATGTGCACGCTCATGGGCATGCACATGGGCATGCGCCAGGGGTACCCAGGCAAAGGAGTGTGGGGGAAACAGGGGTAGGGCAACAGCAGGGCGGCGCCGTCGGCACTGCTAGCACCAGTCGCGTGCATTTCCCACCGGAGCGCACGGCTGGGCGAGGGGAGGGGGGTGGTGGGCAGGAGGGCTCGTTTGACCAATGGCAGGTTGAGGAGCCTGTCTCAGGGGGGGATGGACAGGGAGGGGGGGGAATGATGCAAGGACCTGGAGCAGGAATGGCAGGAGGAGGAGGAGGAGGAGGAGGAGGAGGAGGAGGAGGAGGAGGAGGAGGAGGAGGAGGAGGAGGAGGAGGAGGAGGAGGAGGAGGAGGAGGAGGAGGAGGAGGAGGAGGAGGAGGAGGAGGTGTAGCAGGAGGGGGAGGGGCACAGGGAGGGGTGCAGATGCGCATGGGTAGGCCATCGTCCCCTCAGCTGGGGGGTCGACCCACTCCTCCCCCCGGCCATGTGTCCCCGCACAGGGCTCGAAGCTCCCGGCTCAGGGATAGCAGCCCTTCAGGTGGGCTGGCAGCAGGCCACAGCAGTTCAGGTGGTTCTCCAGGTGTTGGAGTGGGTCCGGGTGGTGTAGCCTCAGGTGGTGGAGTATCTTCAGGTGGTATCAACAGAGCGGAGATCGCGGCTGGCAGGCAGGCGGCATGGAGGAGGAGCAGCAGCATCGGGGCCGGCGAGACTCGGAGCGGAGCCGCTGACATGCCAAGGCCGACGTCGCCGCAGCTGTTTGGATGCATCAAGGAAACAGCCAGGGAAGGTTCCTCAGGTGCTCCGTTCTCTGCATTCCAGGGGCAGCACCACGTGCAACAACATGGGCAGCAGCAGCAGCTCTCAGCGCAGCAGCAGCAGCATCAGGTGGGCGGCAGAAGCAGCCCATCCCAGGTGTCACCTTCCAAGTGGAGGCCTCAGCTGGGGACAGTTATGGCAGGTGGAACAGCAGGCGGATCTGGGGCAGGCTCATTGGGAGGTGTTACTTCTGGTGGTGCCAATGGTGGGGGAGTGGGGGAAAGTAGTGCTGGCGCGATGGGTGGGCTACAACAGCAGCAGCAGCAGCAACAGCAGGGTGGGATGGCTCGGCCTAGGACTGGGCATTCTCGTAGGCATTCATTTGCTGTTGGATCTGGTTCATTCGATTTTGCGTCTCAACCACCCAGCTCTTGAGGCTGGATTGCCGCTTCGTGGAGAGTGGGGTTTGGGGGGAAAGGGGGGAGGGGACTAAACTTGATGTTATTGTTTTTCTTCTGCCTTTTATTTGTTGGTTATGTAGATTGACTAGGAAGGTGTATGCTTGATCTCCAGCTTCCAAATGGATTACTCTGTGCTTTCAGTCTGTAGTTAGCATCTATATTTAGCACTTTCACTGATTCGTCTACATTTCTGCATTGGCAGTACGGAAAGCAACTCGTGCACGTGGGACTGCCTTATAAAGAGGTTGAGTTCCACTGTTCAGTCATGCCTCATCAAGACCGTTTTGAGGATATAACAAGGAAACCCACCTGTTCTTGCGTGGCTCACAAAAAGTCGTCTCCACTGCCCGTCTGTCATTGACCGACACAGCGTTTGCCGAACGTGGGTGCTCTGCTTGCAACATGGAAGGCATGAAAAGGGAAATTATATGGGAAGTCACAATTAAGCCCGTTTTATCACGTTTGGTCACAGGGGTATCACGAACAGTCACAGTACAGTAGATTTCTATCGCGGGTGATCACAGTGCTATCACGGATGGTCACACCTCGCCTCTAAAAGCTATCACGTTTGGTCACTCGATGAAACGATAATGATTAATTTGAAACCACAAAAGAAACTGTAGAGATTTTGGGGAATCCCAATCTTGATTGCTTGTTACCTCGCGCATGATTGTAGCCTGACATTTAGGGGACTCAAGAAACAATAAACCCCTATAGGATGGCACGTCCTTCGGGAGGCATCAACCCTAAACACCATGCGACAAGGTGTTTAGGGTTGATGCCTCCCGAAGGACGTGCCATCGGAATGGGTTTTAGTTTTTTTTTGTCTTGGGAACAGAAATTACCCTTCGAGATTCACCCGTCTAAAATTGATATTCTTAGGAACATTATGCATCAACCGAACAGTGGACAATCGAATAGTAACAAGAATCTGCCGATGTTTTTAACGAGTTACCGAGAGTTGTCGCGAAACTATTTCGTAATACTACGGACAAAACGGTCCGCGCGAGAGAACTTTCCTTGAATCCCTACAGTGACTTGAGTAGTTTCAACTTTCTATCGACCGTTTCAATGAGTGACCAAACGTGATAGCTTTTCGGGGCGAGGTATGACCATCCGTGATAGCACTGTGATCACCCGCGATAGAAATCTACTGTACTGTGACTGTTCGTGATACCCCTATGACCAAACGTGATAAACTTGGCTTAATTGTGACTGCCCATATAATTTCCCGCATGAAAATTGTGGTTTGTGAACTCGGTTGGAGACTATGGCGGGTAAAACACGACAACCTTTAATTAGTCGAAGCAGCGCTTACGATGACGACAAATGTGTTTCGGAGCAACCGAGTCGCACTGTTCTACAGCGCCCCCTCGTCCCCTTACCAGCCCACTCCAACCTTCGCGAAACCCACACAAACGCACCTAATACTCGCACACCACACTCGGGCAGACCATCCTCGACGCCACACACAGGTTTCAAGGCGGACTGCAGTGCACCCATCGCCCCAGTGAGAGAGGTTTCAGGTTACTGTACAGCCAATCTGGTTCGCGCACCAAATGGTTGACAAAAGTTGAAGGTTTGGTCGGGTGGGTTCGTCGGTTGAAGCTCAACCTCTTCCTGCAAGCAAGGATCGTTTTGCCCCTCGTCACATTTCGGGGCTTTTATGTACAGTACCAGTTCCACCAAATCCAAGGTTGTCCCGCTACACTGTCGATTGAAAGTTCTATGTCAAAGAGATTTCTAGTAAAACACCCTTGCGTGTTGGGGAATTTTCGGATCGCAGGGAGGTCCATTACATAAAAATTGTTGCCTGCTCAGTACGTGCACGCACAAGCTGTGGGCGGGGGTAGGGGAAGGTGTTGAAGTGGTGGTGGTGATTCGAGAAACACCAGTTTCGTGCACGAAATTGACAGCAAGCTTCAGGGCAACGAGACGAGTTAGCGGAATGAACCACGACCACTTCTCGAGTTAGACGCGAGCAGTTAGAACTGCAACCATGCATCGTTGTCTAAAATTCTAGGAAACGATTTGCATCTGCAACACTCATGAATCGCCATTTTCTGGCCGACGGATGGTCCGTCGTCGAGTTCGGAACCGTCAATTCTCTCACATATCGATGGCTCTTCTTTGATCCTTCCGCGCGGCCGTTTTCCCCGTGGCACGATTTCCCCTTGCACTCCAAGCACGGGTTCTACCATGTCCTTTGCCTCACGCCGCGCGGTTCCGCCGCGCGCATCGAGGTTTCCGCGGATGAGGATTTCGACCCTCTTCGCCCCATGGCTTGCGCCGCCGGCGGTGGCGGCTGCGGCGGAAGCGGAGGCGGCACGCTCGCGCCGGCACGATTTGCGACGGAAGCGCCGTGGAATCTTGGGATTGCGCCACAGACGTGGCAGGATCCCGAGTCGCCAGACTACAGCGGCGGCGGCGGCGGCGGGTGGGGAACGGATATTCCGCTAAGCGGGACTCCCGTGGAGGTAATCGAAATCGGCGCGCAGCAGGGGGAGACAGGACAGCTGTACGCGGTAAAGCCGCTGGGCGCGATTGCCGTAGTAGCCGAGTCCTGCGACGCGTTCGCAACGTCGGCGACGTCACACGAGCTTGGGCCGCCGTCGCGCGGGTCCAACTTGGGATCACCTGAACGTCGTCGTGTGATGTCGTGGACGATTTTGGCGATATCGTTAACCGACCCGCGGTCGCACATATTGAATGACGTGGCAGACCTCGCGTGGGAGATGCCTGGAGAGTTAAAACGAATTATACGGTGGGTGAAAACGTGCTGCGGTGTACCTGCTTTAAGAAATGGCGGGAATAACAATTTTGTTACTGCGAACGGGGAGGATGCTGGTTACCAGCGGCGATGGCTGGCGTTTGACGAACGGGCGTGGGGCCGCGAACGCGCAATCGAGGAGCTGACAATCGCGCACCAATCGTGGCAAATCATCCACGAGGAGCTCTCAGCTCCCGCCCCGTTCGTGCACGTCGATTTGCCGAACCTTGGAGCCTCGGGGTCCCCGGAAGCAGATGGGAAGAATATCGATAGAATCGCTTTCACGAGCGGTGTACAGTGCAAGGGAATGTACAGTGATGTAAATTCCAAAATTACAGAAGATGGTAGTGAAAATGGAATCAGCAGCAGTAGCACCAGCAAGAGTGGAGCTCTGCCAACACCAGAGGCACTGGAGAGACTATGGGCGCCGGTGTTTGAAAAGTATAAGCATGACAGCAGTGGATTTATTAGTAACGGCCATGGTGAATTTCACTGTAGCGGCGATGCAAAAGATGGGCAAGTATCGGTGGAAGACAGGAATGGGACTATAGCGAGGATGGATGGCCACATGCAACGTGCAGCTTCCGGAAGCAGTGTGACCTACAGCAGCAGCAGCAGAAGCAGCAGCGGCACTTGCGCTGACGTCAGAGGTATGGGCAAGAGCAGCAGCTACAGCAGAAGTGGCAGCTGTAGCAGCAGCTTAGCCACAGCTACCACAGGCATCAGCAGCAACAGCAACCAAAATGGCAGCAGATACGGCAGCGGTAACCCCAAGGCTACAGCTGACAGCAGCAGTGCCACCGGCGTTGGCAGTAGCGGTTTGGATAGAAGCAGCAGCTACAGCCACAGCAGCTACAGCAGCCGCAGCTACAGCAGCAGCAGCAGAAAGATCAATGCTACAGCCGCGAGTAACGACTCTGTCGTGGAAAGTAGCGGGTTTGGCGAGAGCAGCAGCTACAGCAGCCGCAGCGGCAGTAGCACTGCGAATGACTCGAGCTGTAACTCACACAGTAACACAAGTGGTAACACAGGCAGTAACGCAAGCCACATGAAGGAGGGGAAAAAGGACGGCAGCAGGAAGAAGGATGGCCATGGCATTGCGGCTGGCCTGCGTCATCTTATGCTGCCGCCCACCCCAACTTTCCACGCCCATGTGACTATGTGGGGAGATTTGGGCAGGGCCCACACGGAAACCAGTCATGGCTCGTCTCATGCTAAGCCGATACAGTCACCCAGTCTTCAAGTATTACAGTCGCATTCGTTACAGTCACGTGGTGCCAAGTGCCATTGTAACGAGGTGACTTTTGAGTCGACTCAAAAGTCACCACGTGGTGCCAAGACGCCTGGGGGACGGCTGGAGGGTGGAGGGTGGAGGGATGAGGAGGAAGAGGAGGAAAGGGAGGAGGAAGAGAAAGGGGAGGAGGATGTGGAGGAGGAGAGTGAGGAGGAGGAAGAGCAAGAAATTGCTCCTCCTGTTCTGGTAGTTCCTGCTTTGAATGCGGTAAGCAGGGGTTTTGGAGGAGCCAATAGGAAGCTGACTGCTGCCCCTGCTGCTGCTGCTGCTGCTGCGGCTTCTTCTGCCGCTGCTGCTGATGTTCCTGCTGCTTCTGATGCTCATCATCCTGCTTCTACTGCTGCCCGTGCTGCTTCTCCTGCTGCTCCTTCTCCTTCTGCTTCTGCTGCTGCGCCTGCTTCTGGGGATGCTGGAGGCAAGGAGGGAAGGGCGAGGCTGAGGGTGAGGCATGAGAGGGGGAGAACGAGGGATTTTGTCTTCCCTATAGACGTCCCCGTTAACGCACAGAGTGGGAGGCCCTTGGCTGGGTTAGCAGAGTGTGCTCTGATTGATACGCCCGTATCAGCAGCCATAGCAGCACCCACAGGTGCAGGAGCAGGCGCAGACGCAGTCATAGAAGCAAGCGCAGGAGTGGGGACAAAGGCAGGAGCAGGGGAGGGAGCAGAAGCAGCAGCAGCAGCAGCAGCAGCAGCAGCACCAGCAGCTGCAGCAACAGCAACAGCAGCAGCAGCAGCAGCAGCAGCTGCAGCAGCAACAGCAACAGCAGCAGCAGCAGCAGCAGCAGCAGCAGCAGCAGCACCAGCAGCTGCAGCAACAGCAACAGCAGCAGCAGCAGCAGCAGCTGCAGCAGCAGCAGCAACAGCAGCAGCAGCAGCAGCAGCAGCTGCAGCAGCAGCAACAGCAAGCGGGGTTCTCCCTTCCCCCCGGACACACATTCAGGTGCCCACGCGTGCTTATATGCGGAGGGCGCACCGGAGAAAGAGCCTAGAGAGCATCTCCCAGGTGTCCTCTGTGCCGGAGTGTGACTATAACGAAGGGCGGGGCACGGAGGGCGCAGGCAGGGGGGGGCGGGGGGGCAGGAGGAATTGGGGGAGCAGGGGCAGTTGGGGGAGCAGGGGCAGTTGGGGGAGCAAGGGGGGTTTTAGGGAGATGCAAGAGGGTGATTATAGTGAAGGGAAGACCGGGGGGGACGAGCGGCGAGGGGGTGAGAGCAGAAAAGAAGCTGGGGTGGAGGCTGGAAGGGAGGAAGAGGTAGAGTTGGCAGGGGAGGGAGGGAATAACGTTACTGGTGAGGATATGAGTAACAGTCACACTCATGCTGCTGCACAGGAGAGCGCGGGGGGGGGGTGTAAATGAGGAGACGAGTAGGGACAGTAATGAAAGCACAAACAGCGTTGCTGGTGAGGGCGTGGGCGGGGGGGTGGATGGAGGTATTACTGGTGGCAGCACAAGCAGCGTTACCAGTGGCAGCACAAGCAGCGTTACCAGTGGCAGTACAAGCAGCGTTACCAGTGGCAGCACAAGCAGCGTTACCAGTGGCAGCACAAGCAGCGTTACCAGTGGCAGCACAAGCAGCGTTACCAGTGGCAGTACAAGCAGCGTTACCAGTGGCAGCACAAGCAGCGTTACCAGTGGCAGCACAGGCAGCGTTACCGGTGGCAGCACAAGCAGCGGTTTCATTCGGGCCCGCAGGAACAGCCGGAGCAGCTTTAGCAGAGCTACTGGTGAGAGCACGGATTGTGTTACAGATGATAGCAGGGGTTTGGATCAGGGCATCAGTAGGAGTTTCAGTGGGCACAGCCTCAACGGCCCTAGTGGCCCGAGTGGCTCGGGCAACAGCCAGAGCGACATCCTGAACGGGCGGAGTGGCCCGAGCAGCCAGAGCGGTCAGAGCAACAGCCAGAGCGGCCAGAGCAACAGCCAGAGCGACATCCTGAACGGGCGGAGTGGCCCGAGCGGCCAGAGCGGTCAGAGCAACAGCCAGAGCGGCCAGAGCAACAGCCAGAGCGGCCAGAGCAACAGCCAGAGCGATAGCCTGAAGGGACAGAGTGGCCAGAGCAGCCAGAGCGGGCGGAGTGGTCCGAGCTGGGTAGCTCGGCGAAGCATGGCGCGGGCGCTGTCACGGCGACGAGGGTCGGCGTGTGAGTCTGTGGAGTGTGACTATACGCGCGATGCTTCTGAGGATTCTCAAAGTCCGGCTGTGGAGTGTGACTATACGCGAGACGCTTCTGAGAATTCTCATAAGTTTGTGGCTGCTGATGTGGCGAGTTGTCCTGAGCGTGGTGAGTCTGGCGAGTGTGACTATATGAGAATTTCTGACTCGGAGTTGTCTAAAGGAGAGGAGTCTGGGGAGTGTGATTATGTGAGTATATCGGATTTGGGCGGTTCTGAGCGTGGAGATTCTATTGCAGAGTGTGAGTGTATTGAATTTTGCGGCTCAAACTGTGAGGGGTTAACGTGTGACTCTATTGAAGGGGAGCAGAGGAGGGTGGAGGTGGGTGTAAGGGGAGCAGGAGGGGCGAGAGAGGAGGAGGATAGGGGGAGTGAGGGAGAGGTAAAAGAAGGATTAGTAGGAGTGAAAAGTGAGGAGGATAGGGGGAGCGAGGGAGGGGAGAAGATCAGAGAGGGGAAAGAAGAGGAGGTGGGGGTGGGGTTGGGGATGGGAGCTATGGGAGGGGTGAAGGGGGGAGCAGTGGTGGGAGAGGAATCAGATGAGGCAAGGGAAGGAGAGGTGAGTGCCTGTGGGGGAAGAATTGGAAGAGAATATGAAAAGGAGGATGGGGGGAAGGAGACGAAAGAGGCGGCAGAGGGTGAGAAAAATGACGACGAGGAGGAGAGCGAAGAGGAGAGTGAACAGTATAATGAGGAAGGTGAGGTGGAAGAGGAGAGTGAGGAGGAAACGGAGAGTGAGGAGGAAACGGAGAGTGAGGAGGAAAAGGAGAGTGAGGAGGAATGGGGTGAGGAAGGAGAGGAAAGCGAGGAAGAACGGGAGGAGGAGGAGAGTGAAGAGGAAGAGGAGAAAGAGGGTGTGAACGAGAGTGTTAAGGATGGAGAGAGTGTGCAAGGGAGTGTAGGAGGAGGAAAAGATGGAGAGAGGAGGAGTGAAACTGAGAGGGAGGGAAGAAACGAGGAAAGTGGGGAGGAGAATGAGGAGAGTGAGGAGGAGAGTGAGGAGGCTCGGAAGCTTCTGGAGGAGATAAGGAGTGCGGTGAGGAGGAAGATGCACAAGGAAGGGAAGCTTCCTCTGAACCTCGCTTCTGCTGCCGCCGCTGGTACTTCTGATGCTACTGCTGCCACTGGTGCTACTGTTACTGCTGCTACTGCCACTGCTGCTACTGTTCCTGCTGTTACTGCCACTGGTGCTACTGTTCCTGCTGTTACTGCCACTGGTGCTACTGTTACTGCTGTTACTGCCGCTGCTGCTACTGTTACCGCTACTGCTGCCACTGCTACTGCTATTGCTGGGAGCGATAGTTCTACAGCTGCTGCAGACCCTACAGGAGCTCCTTCTCTCTCTCCGCTTCCCCTTCTTCCCTCTCCCTCCCGCTCTCCTCTTCCTCCTCACACGTTCCCCCCTCTTCCTTCTCCTCCCCGCCCTCCTCTTCCCCCGCGTCCTTGTCCTCCCCTCTCCTCTCTCTCCCCTCTTCCCTCTCCTGCACGTTCTTCCCTTCTTCCTGCCACCCCACCAGGAATGGGAACACCTGGCGGCTTCCCACCTGGCGGCTTCCCACCTGGCGGCTTCCCACCTGGCAGCTTCCCACCTGGCGGCTTCCCACCGCGGGCACCTTCTGCGTCAACTCAAAAGTCGACTTTTGAGGCGCCTCAAAAGCCGCCAGTAATGGGAACACTGCAAGCACCTTCTGCGTCAACTCGAAAGTCGCCTCAAGAGTCTCCCCTTCTCCCTGCTGCTCCCCTTGTTATGGGAGTGCCAGATTCTCCGCTAAGCAGGGCCCGAAGCACACCTAGTCTGGCCAGTGCAGCTAGCGAAGGCGGTTATAAGGGGGATGGTGAGGATGCTGCTGGTGAGAGCGCTTATAAGGGGTATGGTACGGCCGCTGCTGGTCAGGGATCGTGGTGGGGAAGAAAAGCGGCAGGAGGAGAGGCAGCAACTGCAGGAACAGTCACAGGAGCAGCAGCAGCAGGAGCAGCAGGAGCAATAGCAACAGCAACTGCAGCAGCAACAGTAGCAGCAGGAGCAGCAGCAGCAGCAACAGCAGGAGCAGCAGCAGCAGCAGTAGCAGCAGTAGCAGCAGGAGCAGTCGCAATGGCTGGTGGTGGTGCGTTCGAGTCCACCCATTCTTTTGCGTCAGCAACAACAGCAGCTGCTGCTGCTGGTAATTTCCAATTGATCCAGAGTAAAGCAGCAACGGGGGCTGCTGCAGCAGCAGTTGATTCTGGGAGTGGTGATGCAGGGAGAAAGGATGGAGGAGGAGGAGAAGTGGAGATGAGTGAGGAGGAGAGGGAGCGAGAGAGGGAGAGGGAGAGAGTGAGGGAGAGAGGGAGGGAGCTGGCAGAAAGGGCGAGGAAGCAGAGGCAACAGTTTGTGGAGCGACTGGAGAAGCGAAAGCAGATGGCTCTTATGGGGGGATCGAATCAGGGGAAGGGAGGGTTGATGAATCAGGGGATGGGGGGGTTGAGCCAAGGCTTGAACCAAACAAAAGCAGGGAGTGAGCGGGGGAGTGGAGGGAGTGGGGGGGGTGGAGTGAGAGGAGAGGGAGCAGTTGCTGCTGCTAGTGCTGCTGCTGGTGCTGCTGCAAGTGGCGTTGCTGCTGCTGGTGCCTCGGGTGCTGCTGCTGATGTTGCTGCTGGTTCGGTGGAGAGCGGTGCTAGCAGGCAGGGCGTGGTATCAGGGTCTGAGCAGTCAAGGAAGCAACAGGATGAACCTGCTGCATCTGCAGCTGAAGCTGCTGCTGCTGCTGCTGCTGGTATTGTAGTTGCAGGTGGTTGGGAAGACGAGTCAACACAGCAAGCCACGTTACTGGCAAGCAGGGGTAAATACCTCCTACGGTCGATCACCATGCTTCGAGAAGCCCGGGCAGAAGAAGCAGAAGCAGCAGCAGCTGAAGCTGAGAAAATCCGCGCACAGAGAGCAGCAGCGGCCGCAGTAGGGCGAATGAGCAGCAAGCAGCACCGGCGGCAGCACCAGCAGCACCAGCAGCACCAGCAGCACCGGCAGCAGCGGCGGTGTGTGCGTCGCCTCGGGCTGCATCAGAGGAGTATGAGTGAGGACCTTGTATCGCAGCTGCTTCTAACGGTTTTTTCAGAGCTTGTTGATCTTTCTGCTGGCACACCCACACTCTCTCCCACACTCTCTCCCTCGCACTCCCCCTCGCTCTCCCCCTCTCACTCCCCTCCTCTCTCTACCTCCACAAATTCCACGGGGGGAAGTGGTGGGTTCAGGGGGAGTGGGAGGATTGGGGGGAGTGGAGGGTTGGGTGGGAGAGGGAAGCGGGGGAGTGGGAGGATTGGGGGAAGTGGAGGGTTGGGGGGAAGCGGGAGGATCGGGGGAAGTGGAGGGTTTGGGGAGAGCGGTAGGTTGGGAGGAAGTGCGAGGTTGGGGGGGAGTGGAGGGGCGGGGGCTTATGTGGACTCATACACGAGTCTAAAGTCTCCTAAGACGGAGGGGAGGGGGAGGGCAGTGGGGGGTAAAGTGACGGCTGCTGCACTGTTGGCAGTGACACCACGAGGAGAGGGAGGAGGTGGGTGGAAAGGCGGGTGGGGAAGCGGAGGAGGAGGGGAAGGAGAAAAGAGGGCGAGGAGAGGAGGAGGGGGGTGGCGGTTAGGGTTCCGGGATGAGGAGACGAGGAATGAATATGGGTTGCCTGATCTTGATGTGCAACGGACACAGAATGGGTATGGGGTGTCTAGGAGTGAGTGTGGGGGGCCAGTAGCAACAGCAGCTGAAGCAGAAGCAGAAGAAGCACCAGTATTTTGTCGATCGAAAACCATTGCTACTGATGGTGTGAGCTCATGGAAAGAGCCCCTCTCCCCTGCTGCAGGTACCAAATGTGCTGCTGATGGCAAGAAAGGGAGGAAGGGCAGCGAGGGTCATGGGTTTACTGGAGAGGAATGGCGGGGTGAATTGGATGGGGAAGGGGAAGGGGAGGAGGAGGAGGGGTTAGAGGAGGAGGAGGAGGAGGAGGAGGAGGAGGAGGAGGAGGAGGAGGAGGAGGAGGAGGAGGAGGAGGAGGAGGAGGTGCCGTTGGTGCAGCTGCTACGGTCGAGAACTATCGGGTCGGGATATTCATGCAGAGTGCTCGATTTGGAATCGATTGGTGCTGCTGCTGCTGCTGCTGCTGCTGCTGCTGCTGCTGCTGCTGCTGCTGATGTTGCCGGCACAGCGTATCTTGATGATGATGATGATGGTGATGGCGATGGTGATGGTGATGGTGATGGTGGTACGGTTTGTGGTGCTGATGATGGTGCTGCTGGTGCTTTTGCTGGTGGTGGTGATGTATCAGAGGAGAGCGAGCACAAGGCAGGCAGCAGCAGGCACAAGGGGGCAACGAAACCGGCAAAGAAAAGGAAGGAGGCGAAAGGGAGGAAGGAGAGCGAGGGTGAGGGGGACAGTGCTGAGGGGGACAAGGTTAAAGAAGTTGGAAAGAAGGGGAGGATATCTGGGAAGAAGAAGAAGAAGGAGAAGGAGAAGGAGAAGGAGAAGGCAGGAGGAAGAGAAGCCAATGAAGCACATATGCTGAATCCACGCGAGAGAGTGGTGAACGAGGGAGTGGGTGGGGTGAGTGAGCTAGTGGGTGAGGGGGTGAGTGGGGGGGTGAAGGAGAAGAGGAAGCAGAAGAAGGATGGGAGCAGGACCAAGGCTCAGAAGGGTGAAGAATCTGAGGAGGTTGGAGGGGCAAAGAAGGTTGATGAGGTGTGTGAGGAGGTTGGGGAGGGGAAGGAGCGAAGGCTTAAAGGCCCAACCATTGTTCAGCCACAGGAGCTTCACTTGCAGGCAACAAGCAACAACGGTGAGGGTGCCTTGTTGTTAGCCGGTCCTGTAGGGTTGGATGCAGGGAAGCGTTGGGGCAGCAGTAGGGCTTTAAGAGTGGCCATTCCTTTGGATATTCCTCACGATGAAGATGAAGAAGAGGAGGAGGAAGAGGAGGAAGAGGAGGGGGAGAGGGAGAGGGAGAGCGGTGATTATATCAAGCGTGCGCTCTTACAACGTGGTGCTATGTCCGCACGTGACTATATGGGGCGCTCATCGTTCAAACCAGCAGCTGTTTCCGCAGCGGGAGGAGCACGGGCGCTGCCGGCCCTGACACCAGGCCCAGCAGCCAATAGGAAGCTGCCACGTGGCGTGTCCCCCAAGCCAATCATGACACCCGAAGCCCTTGCAGCGTACTATGAGAAATCTGGAACCCCGGCCAATCAGATAACCCCTCGCATGGGAGCAGGGTTTGGGTCAAAGACCGGGAAAGGGATTGGGAGCAGGAGTGGCTGGGGCAGGAAAACCCCTGGTTCTTGTTCTGCTGCTGGTTCTTGTTCTGCTGCTGGTTCTTGTTCTGCTGCTGGTTCTTGTGTTGCTGCTGGTTCTTGTTCTGCTGCTGGTTCTTGTTCTGCTGCTGGTTCTTGTTCTGCTGCTGGTTCTGGTGCTGCAGCTTCAGATACGTCTCAAAAGACCCCTGGTGCTGCTTCTAATGCTGTTGTTGGTGCTGCTTCTAAACTTGCTGTTTCATCCAGTAAGACCCCTAAGTGGATCTCCAGGGGAGTTTCAGGGGAAGGTTTTGGAAGAGGGCTTGATGGAGCATTAGAAGGGGGGTTGTTAGGGGGCTTTGAAGGGTGGGGTGAAGGGGAGGTGGATGCGGGGGGTGAAGGGTGGTGCGGAGGGGTTTCTAGGGGTGAACAGGGGGAGGAATACAGGAGTTTGTCTATGGTTGCTCCTAGATCAGTCACAGAGACGGGATTCGCCCGTCGAGGCAGCAGCGTCCCTGGAGATTCCAGGGGTGAAGTGCGGTGTGCAGGGGTTTGCAGCAGCGTCACTGGAGACTTTACCGCTCCGACTCTCACTATCCCCACTGTCACTACCCGTACAGGGACTCCTCCCTCCGGCACACCTCCTTCCATCACCCCTCCTAGAAGCACAACCCCTAAGAGCACACCTCCTAGAAGCACAACCTCTAATAGCACTACCCCTGTAAACACAACCCCTCCAAGAGGCACCACCCCCACTAGCACCGCTCTTAAGAGCACTACGCCCAGGGGTAACACCCCTGATAGATGCACTGCTAATTATGCCAGTCTCAGCAGCACCACTCCTAAGGGGACTCCCCCTCAGGACACCACTCCTAAAAGCACAACGCCTAAAAGCACAACCCCCAGAAGCACCACCCCAAGAGCCACCACACCAAGGAGCAACTCCCCAATTACCCCCACGGCTTCTTTCTCTCATCCTACAATACCCCCACTCACCTCCTCCCCTTTTTGGCCACCAGCCTGGGTTGCTCCTTGGAAGTCGAATACCACCAGCAGCAGCACCAGCAGCAGGGAGGCTCAACAACCACAGCAGCAGCAGGCAGAGGCTAAGACCAGTGTGGAGCGTGGTGTGCATGATGAGGGATATGAGGATGGGTGCTTGGATTCTCGGGAGACAGAAGAAGCAAACCACTCGAAGCTTCGGTTAATTCGTCATTTGTTGAGTAACTCGCATAAACAGGACAGTTTGAGCAGTGTGGATTTGCCGTAATGTGTAGATCACCCAGCAGATTTTGTTGGGATTGGTTTTCCTAAGTTGTGGTGAGGAGGCGGTAGGTAAGTAATTTACATAGTACTGTAAGGAAAATTCCTTTTCCTTACTTCGCATCCCTGCTCAACGCGTACATCACTGTAGCACCACAGTCAGCACCATTACCACTCGCAACCCTCGCATCGACAATCCGTCCGCCACCTTCGCACATCGCACCCCGACCTCACAGCTCGGCGGGTAACCCCGCGCTCCAGGCCTCCGCTTCGACACTTTTTCCCAACCTCAGTCCCAGGCCCGTCGCGCGACAACCACAGTCCATTACCGTTACCACTGTAGTTTCGCTATATATTCTTCGCTCATGCCTGCGCTCGTTGGACTCTTGCTTCGATAGTGCAATTCTCGTTCGTTCACTCAATTGCACTCGTAACACTTGGTATTCAGAGCCTACGATCTCCTCTCGGACCGCACCCACACCTTCGCTTCCCCACTATCTCAATTTTTGGGGGGGGTAGACGTCTCTCAGCGACACAGCACCGCCGCTCGTAGTGCTCTCTCGTAAGCACGCATGGCCACGACCGAGGCTCTCGCTGAGCTCGCCCGACACCCCCGCCATGGCCGAATTCACGCTCGCCACATTGACGCAGGAGCAGCTCGACCGTCTGGTGCGCCAACTTGAAGATTCGGCGCTCGAAATTGCGACGCTCACGGCGGAACGTGACTCCCCGCGTCAGCAATCAACGATGAACACTCCAGCGCCACCACACGCACCGACAAATGCATGTGCACAATCAGACGAGCCGATCGTCATCTCGTCCGGCACACCAACACAAAACAACAGCGTGGGACAGCGCTCAGGCGCAGCCAGCGATGGCGCCGCCCAGCCGATGCCTGGCATGGGAGGAAACAGGGTCGCACCGAGCCCGCGGGAGCCTCGCGAAGCCCGTCGGCACGTGGAGTTCGCGGCGACAAGTGGCGAACAGGCCATTATGGCACCAATGCCACTCAAGCCGCAACGCCCGCCCTGCTTCGACCCGAGCCAGCGTGGAGGTCCGACGGTTCAATCGTGGGTCTTCACGATGAACGTCTTCTTCGACGCGAATTACGTCGATTCGGACGCAGCGAAGATTCGGTATGCCGTTTCGCTGCTAGGGGGCCCCGCCATGGACTGGTGGCGAGTCATCGTGACGTCGCCACGCGCCTACGAGCCACCGTCGCAAGAGGAAGGGCCCACGGGTCCAGCTGTCACCTGGAGTTCATTCTGCGAGACCGCCCAATACAGCACGTGGGATGCGTGGTGCGCAGGGCTTCGGGCGCGCTTCGAGCCGATCGCGGCTTCTATTTCGGCGCGTCAGAGATTGCGCACTTGGCGACAGCTCGGATCGGTTCAAGACTATACGAGTGGTTTTCTCGCATTATGCGAGCAAGTCGGCTACATGCACGAAGCGGAGCGGGTGGACCGTTACGTCGGAGGGCTGAAGCCGGACATCTTGCACGAAATCATGCTACGCGGGCTCTCGAACTTCAACGAGATTCTCGCGCTCGCCAAGAAAATCGACATTTTACGCCGTCCGAGACCGGGGTCCTACTATGGACATCGTCCTCGGGGACCGATCGAGCACGCCACTGTACACGCTGTTGCGACGAATGCAGCTGCCGCGCCGTTTAAGGGGCGCTGCTTTGCTTGCAACAGGCCGGGCCATCGCAAGAGCGAATGCCCAAAGGAGCTAAGGCGCCGCGGAGCAGAGCAGGGGAGGGAGCCTCCAAAGCAGGGAAACGCCAGCAGTCAGTAGGAATCGGGCCAACTACTGACGAGACTGCCTGCTCGCCCAACCCCACCGACCCTTACCGAGTCACAGTACCGATTCATGCTATCGATCGGACTCGGACGAATAAGGAGGGTACAGCGACGAATTGCCCAATACTGATCCACGGGAAAATACAGGGAGCAGCAGTGAAGATTTTTATCGACGGAGGAGCAAGCCACAGTTTAGTTAATACCGCAACCGCACGAAAACTGCAGCTGACACTTAGCCGTTGCTTACCGGAGATAGACGCACGCTTAGTCGACGGCACGCCACTGGCCATACGGGAAAAGGTAGAGAGAGTCAAAGTCCGCTGCGGGGGAAATTTCGGGTTTACACAGGAAATGCTCGCAACGACACTGGATGGGCACGATATTTTACTGGGACGTGATTGGCTGCGACGGTATAACCCGCGAATTGACTGGACGACGGGTAGCTGCACCGTGCGAAGTAGTGGTAACTGGGTCGAGCTACCTCGCTGGCAGTCGCCCGAGTCTTCAACGGTACACGTCAACGCCATCACAATGAAACGGGCTGTCGCTACTGGAGCTGACGTGTACGCAGTAGACATCGCAGTAGTAGAGGAAGCAGAGCAGCCGAGTGATTTCAAGAAACTGCTGGCAGCCGTACCGCCCGAATTACAGGAACTGTTGAAACGATACCCCGGGATTTTCCCCGACGACTTACCGGAAGGACTGCCACCTCGGCGAGCACATGACCACCGAATCGAATTAGAACCGGGGGCACACCCAACCGTACAGCGCCAGTTCAGACTAACACAGCCCGAGCTCGACGAACTAAGGAAGCAGTTAGATTACCTGTTAGAGAAAAAATTCATCAGACCGAGCTCGTCACCGTTCGCCGCACCGATACTATTCACGCCGAAAAAAGACGGGGGTTTTCGCATGTGTATCGACTACAGAGCACTAAACAGGGTAACAGTCAAGTCGCGGTACCCCATTCCCCGCGCCGACGAACTGATCGACCAACTGCGAACAGCACGGGTTTTTTCGAAAATAGATTTACGGGGAGGTTACCATCAGATTAGGGTCGAACCATCGGATTGCGCCAAAACAGCTTTCAGGACTAGGTACGGGTCGTTCGAGTACACTGTGATGCCATTCGGGCTGACCAATGCACCGGCGACTTTTCAGATGACCGTGAACGAGGCATTTAGGCCGCTCTTAGATAAATGTGTAATTGTTTACCTCGACGACATCCTAGTGTACAGTCGGGATAAGCAGCAGCACTTAGCAGATCTGGAAGCAGTGTTTAAGGTTTTAGACGAGCACAGATTACTGACCAAGGGTTCCAAGTGCGAGTTCTTCCAGGATAGGTTAGAATTTTTGGGGCACGTTATTTCGGAGGCTGGAGTTGAAATCGACCCAAAGAAGCTGGATACGGTAAAAGCGTGGCATCCCCCGACGAACATCACGGAGCTGCAGGGCTTTTTAGGGTTCGTTAATTATGTGCGACGGTTCGTCCCCGATATGGCACGGTTAACTGCCCCACTGACGGATTTACTGCGGAAGGGGGTCGCTATTACGTGGGGGGAGAAAGAGCATGCTGCCTTCTCTGCCCTGAAAAATGTTCTCTGTTCACCACCCGTCCTGCGCATCGCCGACCCACACCGCCCATTCGAAGTAGTTACCGACGCAAGCGATATCGCCATCGGAGCCGTACTGCTACAGGATTTCGGCAATGGCCTACAGCCTATCGCATACGAGTCACGAAAACTGCATCCGCCCGAGAAAAATTACCCGATACACGACCGCGAAATGCTTGCGATCGTGCACGCGTTCAAAGTATGGCGCTGTTACTTGACTGGCGCGGACGTGACAGTACGGACAGACCATAAATCACTACAGTACCTTCGTGTCAGAATGTTATCTTATGCTCTAGCCTGTAGTGGGGTGCTCTATAGCGAGTACAACCCTTCTAGGGTTTCCTATTTGTATCCCCATTCTTGCTAGTGCAATCCCCCTTCTTCTCTCTTCTTTCTTCTAAATTTTAACATGCTATCAGAGCAGGTCGATCCCCTTGGATCGATCCTGTGGGTGGGCTCACCACCTTGTTGCTTCCGCTGCAACTGCTACTGCTACTCTCTGTGCCGCACGCCCCGTGGCGTGCGGCAGTTTTTCTTCCCGCCGTGCGCCCCGAGGCGCGCGGCGGTTTTCTGCCCGCCGTGCGCCCCGAGGCGCGCGGCGGTTTTCTGCCCGCCGTGCGCCCCGAGGCGCGCGGCGGTTCTCTGCCCGCTGTGCGCCCCGAGGCGCGCGACGGGCTTCTGCCCCGTCGTTCGTCGCGTCGCCCTCTGGAGGCGCCGCGACGGGCGACGGGGACCCGTCGCGGCCCCGCCGCCCCACTCTCGCGGCCCCGCCGTTTTCCTTCGCGGCCCCGCCACCTCCGGTCGCGGCCCCGCCACCTCCGATCGTGGCCCCGCCGCCCCACCATCGCGGCCCCGCCGCTGTCCTTCACGGCCCCGCCACCTCTGGCCGCGGCCCCGTCGTCTCGCCGCCCTACGTGCGGCCCGTCGCCCTACCTGTCGCGGCCCCGGCCCCGGCCTCGCCTCCCCCCCCCCCCCCCCCCCCCCC